AATTTTTCGAAATTTTCCCTCTAAGGGGGTGAAATGAGGGGTGAACTTTCTGAAAAAAATCTGTCCTAGAAGTATGAAAATTTGCACAGAGGTTCCTCAAGTGATGAAAGTGAGTACTCAGAAGCGAATTTTAGGCATTCGCCCCATAAGAATTAAGGGATGAAAATTTGTACAAAAATTCATTAAAATCGGTTTTGGAAGTATGAAATTTTGCGCAGACGTTCCTTATGTAACGTAATTTAGCACTCAGGAACAATTTTTGGAAATTCGCCCTCTAACGGGGTGAAATAGGTGTGGACGAAAAAAAATTGCTTGTTATTGCTAAATTACGTTACATAAGGAACAAACAGAATTTCATACTTCTAAACCCGATTTTAACAAATGTTTGTACAAATTTTCATCCCTTATTTCACTCTCTTAGGAGATAAATGTCCAAAATCCACCTGTACAAAATTCCACACTCGTAGGACTGTTAGTTTTAACTAACAATTTATTAAAGTGCAACTATATAAAAATTATACAGGGTGGCGCCTCTCATACGACTCGGAGGCTCCAAGGAGAACGACCAGTTCGTATTAAAATGAAATTTTGTGAGCATATGTAAGTTAATTCTGCGCACGTTTTAAAAATATAGAGCGTTCTACAGGGTGTCCCCAAAAAAAGTTACACATCAAATTTGTGTTTTTTTGTAACGGAATACCCCCTTTATTAATTAATTTTTAGATTCTAAGAGAAAAATAAAGGTGTATTTTATTAGGGAAGTATATGACTGAAATGTAAGGTTTTAGACTTACTTAAGATTTTGAAGAACAATTTTTAAATTTCAAGAAAAACTACCTAAATTGGAATTTACTCTATTGCACTTTAAATCAAATTAAACCCTGACCCATAAAGTTATACAGGGTGGGGCAAAATTAATGCTGAACATTGGTATAACCTGTATAACTCCTTTATTACCCACCCTGTATAACTCCTTTAGTTTAATTGAATCACCCAGAATATTATTCCGATATTCAATGGGAAATTCATGTCACTTCCAAATACTATTAAGGTTGCCGGCCTACCCCTCAAACAAAGATTTTCCTAGATATTTTCATTTCTATGATTTAGTGTGAATAGATCTTTATTATTTGATAAAATCTAGGGTGGCTGTGATATGTCTGACGTTACTTCAACATAGCTGTCAAATTAGTTCAACTTTAGCAACTAGTTATCATTTTGTGTCAGTTGAAACAAAAAAAAATCTAAGAAATTTTCCGAAAATAGAAACTTATCCTACATCAGAAAGAATTGATATGATTCTACTTTTAGATTCAAATTTTTGTTATATAATTATACATTTATATCTAATTTTAATTCTGTGATAATTAATATATGTTTTAAACGTATGTTTTTATTACAGTATTTTATACTACATCCTTTAATTTTTGATAAATTAACACAGCCACCTAGATTTTTTTCAAATAATAAAGATCTACTGACGCAAAATCATAAAAATCAAAAAGTATTGAGTGTAGTCAAGCAAGTATAAATGTATAACTAGGAAAATCTTTGTTAGAGGGGTAGGCAACCTTAATAATATTTTGAAGATATATGAATTCCCCATTGAACACGGAAATAATATACTGGGTGTTCCATTTAAAATAAAGGAGTAACTTGCTTTTCAAAGTGATAAATGTTCAATATTAGTTTTGTCCCACCCTGTATAACTTTTCCTGTCACATTTTAATTTGGTTTAACATATTATGGTTATTGTAACTAAATATCAGGCTATACAGGATAAATTACAATATAGATAGCTGTTATTGAAATTTAAATTTTATTCTTCATTTTCACAAAATGTGAAATATGTCAAAATCCTTACATTCTAGGCACATGCTTCTTTAATAAAACACACCTTTATTTTTTCCTGGAATCCAAAAATCAATTAATATATAGGGTATTCCATTACAAAAAACAACTTTAATGTATAACTTTTTTGGGGGACACCCTGTATAACTATATATTTTTATAAAATGCTTTCAATTAATCTATATATGCTCCCAAAATTTTATTTCGATATAAACTACCATTCGCCCTGGAGCCTCCGCGTCGTATGAGAGGTGCCACCCTGTATAATATAAACATGTGATTTGTATCAGGGTAGATGGTACAACTCAAAACACTTGGCACAACTCAAAAAGTGCCTTTATGGAATTTCTGATGTATCATATTTGGAATTTAGCCTACTTTAATATGCAAGAACGGCACTTTTATATTTTCAAACCCAATATAATTCCTGCTCTTTTCTCAATAATTATAATGAGTGAGCTAATTATTATGCTCACAGTTTCACGCATTAAAATGTAAAAATAAACAATGGTACCAGATGGAAATAAACTAAAATAGGTAAATCATTGTGTAAATAAAACAAGTGAGTATAAAGAGAAATTTTATTAAAAATATGTAGTCAACCATGGACAGTACTGTTTCAAGACAGCTTTCGACTGCAACTCTCGACTGTGCTCTAGCCACGGAGAGTACTGTTTCTGGACAGCATCCTTCGTCAGCATGGCTTGCTTGACTACACTCAAAAATAGCATCACCACCGATATATATATATACATTATATTTTATTAATAACTAATTAGTTTCATGTATGTTATACAAATAAGTCAAGATCATAAACAAGATTTTCAAGAAATCAATGACAATGTTGAAATCATCAAAGGAAATCAAAAAGGAAAATATCTATTACCTGTGGCGGATTCATCTCTCCAAAAAAATCCTATATGGGTATTTCGCCGCTGCAAAAAAATCTACAAAATAAAAAAGTAATTTTTTGTAAACACTGCTGCGTTAATCCAACGGAAACTACCTACTTGTCGGCAGTTAGGTTTAGGTTAGGTTAGGTTAGGTTAGGTTGCTGGGGTTTGGGATCATATTTGATCCCCCACTCGGAGGCGTTGGGCCCATTGCAATACCCCTGTATTGTTTTACCAAACCTTCCTCTCATTCTTTCTTTGCGTTAAAGCACTTCCAGCCCTTTGCAAAGTTCCCGATGTCGCTGATGTTGGCTTCTGCTGCTTCCTCTAGTCCCTCCAAAAAACCTTGCCCTAAATTTTAAAGCGTCGGTATTCCAGTGCCGGACACTGGCACAGCGGGTGCTCTATGGTTTCTTCTTCCTCTCCGCATTTTCTGCAGTAGTCGTCGTCGGAAACTTTCGGCAGTTAGGTTTACTGATAAACAAAAGTGCCTAACGAACAAAAAAATGCTTAACGTTTTGGAAAGTTTATCTCTTTCCGTAGTCGGAAGCAAAAAAAATACAAAGAATAAAAAAATAAAATAAAATATTTAAAAGTAGGTATTCGAGAACACTTTATTTTTTTTTAAACAGATACGTCTACAAAAAAAAACGTAGAACGTCAACGGTTTTTGTAGATATATCTGTTTTAAAAAAAACTAACAGCGCTCGCTGATGAAGCGGACCGTCCGCGACTTCGAGCAAGTACCATGAGTTTATATGAACAACATCGGACGGAGCATACGCGACCCATGTGAAATTGTTCATATAAACTCATGGTACTTGCTTGAAGTCGCGGACGGTCCGCTCCATCTGAAACAGCTGTAGAGTGTTCTCGAATTCTGAAGCTTTCAAATATTTTAAATAGTTTTTTTTTCTTTACTCTTTGTATTTTTTTTTGCTTCCGACGACGGAAAGAGATAAACTTTCCGAAAAGTTAAGCATTTTTTTGTTCGTTAGGCTAATTTGTTTACCAGTAAACCTAACTGCTGACAAGTAGATTCCGTTGGATTAACTCAGCAGTGTTTACAAAAAAAAAATAACTTTTTTATTTTGTAGATTTTCTTGCAGTAGCAAAATACCTATATAGGATTTTTTCGGGTATTATTAGCCGCCACATTGACAGGTTGGCTATTACAACTTGTGAAGGTATCCAGGGATGATGGAAAGGAAAAAAGATATGAATAGGAAGCTCATGTGTAGGACAATGATTTCCCCCATATGATGGAATTGGGGGATAAACCAAGGCTCGCGTAGGCAGGAGCGCATTCCTGAAGTAGATCTGTCATCTATTAGGATCATAGATGAGTATCTACCCGCTACCACAGCAGAAAAAAGAAACTTGGACATACTATTATTGCTGTATTGGATGTTGATTTTCGGATAGTTATATTTTTACTCTTACTTAACTATTTACTCTTATTCTTACTTAATTTAAGAAGTTTCAAACAAATAGACAAAGACATTAGTTGTGATTCTTCAAAAAAAAGTTCAGACTCACCCTACTCAATCCGAGCAAGTCATTCCTTCTTTTAAAGAATAGAAACTAGTTGCAGGAAAATTATAGATATAAATCGGGCGTGGGGTGGGTGGTGGTGTGTGGGGTGCGTTGTGGGCGTGGGGTGGGTGGTGGTGTGTGGGGTGGGTTGTGGGCGTGGGGTGGGTGGTGGTGTGTGGGGTGGGTTGTGGGCGTGGGGTGGGTGGTGGTGTGTGGGGTGGGTTGTGGGCGTGGGATGGGTGGTGTGTGTGGGGTGCGTTGTGGGCGTGGGGTGGGTGGTGGTGTGTGGGGTGCGTTGTGGGCGTGGGGTGGGTGGTGGTGTGTGGGGTGCGTTGTGGGCGTGGGGTGGGTGGTGGTGTGTGGGGTGCGTTGTGGGCGTGGGGTGGGTGGTGGTGTGAATTGAATCAAATGTGAGTTGTGAGTTGAATCAAAATGTGAGGTGTGAGTTGAATCAAATGAATTGCTCCTTACGTTAGTTCTTATTGATATAATAGCAAAAAAGTATAAAGTATAAGCGCAATTTTATTAAAAATATGTTATTCTAAGTTAGAATAACATGGAGTTAAAAAAATATGTGTTACAATTTCTAACACATATATTTTTTTAACTCTAAAGTTCTAAATTAATTGTTCAAAATATAATTGTTATTTTTTTCCTAGGAAAGATAAAACTTCATTAATTTTCATAAATAAATTTATTTCTATTAAATTTTATAGAGCAATTTGTACTACAGTTTTATTTCACATTTTGTAATACTGCTTCGGTGCAGTGCCCCATTGCTATCTGTGAGTTCATTCAAATTATGAAAAATCACTACTGATCTAGAAGATAAAATGTACCTAAGTACCATAATATTATAATCAAAAATGACTAATTTTGTAAATTATTACCTATAATGGTTAGATGAGATGCATGTAAACTTCTTTAGGCTGGTTTCTTAAAGTTAGGTGATATTAATTATCTTCGCATCATCATAGGCTCTAATCAATTGTAGATTATTCTTCAATCAACCTGAAATATGTAATATTATTTACTTTATATCTATGAAAAATTATCATTTTCTTTATGAAAATTTTGAGTTTAAATTTAAATGTGATTAGAATAAATATACGTCACTAATTAACATTTTATCACAGGTAATATTCTATATTACTTTATGATTACTTTTGTGAAAATATTACTTACCTATAATATTTAAACGAGTTCCTGAATGTACAATTTTACTTGTTTATCGCGATGCCGAGTTCTGAATCTTGTATTGGTTGTCTAAAACTGTTTGATTTTGCTTAGTTATATTGTATCCTATATTTTATTAAACAAACTCAAAATAATGTTTATAATTACCTTCATCAGCCTTTATACCATTAAAAGTCATTATTATCAGTTATTATTATGTAGTATGTAGTTATTTCTTTGAGTTATTTGTTGTTGTTTGTTTTCAAAGATCATTTTTGAGGTTAATGTCATATGAAACTTTTCGTAATTAGGCAACTGGTAAATAACATGTGACGATAAATTAATAAAATAATAATGTACGTATTAAGTTAAATATTTATATATTAATTTAACATCCGGTATTACCTAACATCCATATCTATTTCATGTTTATAAATTACATAATTTTTAATTTTATATTATATTCATAATGAAATGAAATATATTTCGATATAACGTTTGGCAACCACGCAACTGAAGTGCAAGCGACATCTGTGCAAGAGAAGCAAAACCTCCCAAAAAAGTTAGAAAAGGAATCTAAAAATTTCAGATTATTCAAATGTCACTCCAATATTTTCCCAAATTGGAGTGAAATTGGGGTGACAATTTTTAACACGTAAGGAGCCATCTGGATTATGTGTTATCTGTGCTTGTAGTCTAAACTCTTGTAGTAGGTTTCACCGGAAATGACTAAAAACAATTGAATGTGTCAATCAATCCTAATTTATGTCATATACTAACATATCAATTCTCGATTTGTATCTGAGGACGCACCAGATCAGATATATCAAGGGTTGGTTTGACAAATTTCAAGATATTAAAAAGAGGACGGAATGGTAAAAATATTTTTTTTAAATAAAACAAACGATTTTCTACAAAACTTTTTATATCAATACATAAGCTCAGTAAACATAAAAAAACTAAACATGCATCGATTCCAGAAATATTCCTGGTACAGGGTGGGTCAAATTGGACGATTTTAAAGGGAAACACGCTTTTCTATTGAAAATAGACGAAAACTAATATCAGTATCAATTTTTATCAAAAACATGATGGTGAAAACCGCATATCGATATCTGTTACCGCTTCGGATTTACGGGGTGTTTTTCAAAAATGTGCATTTTTAACAAATCGTTGTAACATTTTTACTATGGAAAATTTTGTATTTTTATCAAAACATTCCCAAAGCGCCTTTTTACGTAGAATTTAATGGTTTAAGTATATTTTTTAAGAATTAACGATTTAATTGTTATCAACAGAAAAATTGATTTTTTATTTGGGACACCTGTATACACAGTTTGTTTCAGTGAATTAAAAATATACCTGGATGTATATTTTTAATTAACTGAAAAGAACTAAAAATTACCTTTCGAAAAATATATCACACTTGATATTTTGTTATAATCCCTCTCAAAATACGGAATTTTTAAAATTTCGCCACTTTTTTTAACTATAAACTTTGGATCCCCCAGAAACCTCAAGTTATCAGCAAATTTATGCAACTAATTTCGAGAATATTTGAATAGCTAACCAAGATCTCAGCCGTTGGCCGTCGAAGCCGCCGGACTTAGTGCCTATGGATTTTTACCTTTGCGGAAGAATAAAGGTTCTTATTCGTATAACCTAGACAAGAATTAGGAGTACCTAGCGGTTATGCGAGGATCTTTCACCCCTACTGAGTTAATGAATTCCGCCAGAAGTGTTCAAAGACGGTCCCGTCTGTCCTTAACAGAAAACGGTCGATATGTCGAACACCTCTAGCAAAATCTCATGTCTTGGTTGGGTATTAATTTTTTATTGTTATTAGATATAGTTTAAATGTGTTAGTGATGGGCAAAACTGTTATATTTAGATAACAGTTGAAACTGTTATAGTTATTTATAAAAAACAGCTTAAAATAACAGCTTAAAAATAACAGGTTTCTTTATTTTATTGCTAAATATCTGAAAGAGTATGAGGCGGTCACCGCCAGGCGTATTAACGCAGTTGCAAGTTGCAACAATGACGTGCTCGGTGGTAGTATTTCCAGGGTGTCAAAAGATTTCTAAATATCGATTGTACCTCTTTAAAAATGGTGGTTGTTTACAAATAAACGCTGTTTACAAATTGCGATATAAAAAAGCCAAAACTCCGCTACTCGTCTATACCTATACATTCCAATCTACCTACGCCCTGCCCCTCGATCCGCGTAGATCCTGAATTGCGTAGCAGTGTACAGGGTGCATCTCACTTGACCGGCGAGAAGCTCTTATATAGTTATGATTTTACCATTTGCGGTCAAAAAATAGCAATATAAGAAAATGTGTAGTATATTCTTGATATGTAAACCAACTACACACTAGAGTTCGAATTAATTTTACACTTAAACTAGCGTGTACCCGCGACTTCGTTCGCGTCGAATTAATAATTTTTAATGGTGATGATAAAGCAAAGGAAAAAAAGTAAGAATTTCCATTAACATACAAACTGGATAAAATGTTCTCACATTTGCCAAAAATAAGCTTTAAACGTCGAGCAGTTTAAGCAGAATCGTGGTTAATCAATTACTCAACTTTTTGGAACACCCTGTATGATTTTTGAAAAAATTTCAAAATATGTAAATAAACAAAATAAATTATGCGTGTCCAAGCGTTTTCCCGAAAGACTAACATAACAAATATTGTAATATTTGAGGGGAGTTTTCACCCTCTTGGAATTTGAGATTCGAGAAACCCCTCCTCATCAAACCTCAACCCCACAGTCAATCCGTTTGTCAAAAATCAGCTTTAAATGTCAAGCAGTTTAAGCAGAATCGTGATTACTCAACGGTCATATTTTATGAAACACCCTGTATATATTTTTTAAAAATCTTAAAATATGTAAAACAACAAAATAAAATCTACGTGTTTAAGAGTTTTTCCGAAAAACTCACCGGTTTTTAAATAAAAAATATTCTAATATTTGAGGGTGGTTTCACCCCCTTAGAATTCGAGTTTCGAAAAATCCCTTCTTATCGAACCTCTACATCCTAAAGTCAATCCATTTTCCAAAAATCAGCTTTTTACTCAAGGACTTTAAGCAGGATTGTGATTAATCAATTACCAGAATTTTCAAAACACCCTGTATACATTTTTAAAAAATCCTAAAATATTATTCTGAAAATTTTTCAGAATAAATAAATACCTAAATATTGAAACTTAATAAGTAAGTACTGAAACATACAGCGCCATAATATCTCGACCTCCGCCCGTTATGCTCGTAACAGGTTGAAAAACAATGTATCTAAAACAACTGATGCGTTATTCTCCAACCTGTTTCGAACCTCCATCGACAATCGACCGATGCAGCAGCGTTAGTTTCCCACTCCGATTATCTCGACCGCCGCGCCGCTCTGTTATGCTCGTAACAGGTTAAAAAACAACGTATCTAAAATGACTGCTTCTTCAACCCGTTGCGAGCCTCCATCGACAATCGACCGATGCAGCAGCATTCCTTTCCCACTCCTGTTATCTCGACCGCCAGGCGTTATGTCCGCAACTGTTTCAAAAAAGCTGCTTCTTTAATATCCTATTATTTTTAAGCTGTTGCAAGCCCACACGACCATCGACCGATGCAGCTACGTTCGCCGCGCCGCGCCGTAGCGCATTCCCCACTCTGTTGTTCGTTGTATCTCACCGCCTGTATCGATGGTGGTCGAAATAACATGTTTTCCATCCATAATCCATACTAGTTGTTTTTGGATTTGCTTCGAGCAGCATCGAATTTCGTGGCGATGCAGAGCGCCGACTTTTTTTCACGAACGGTCGATCTCTGCGTATCGTTATTTTATATCTGTTATTTTTTAAAAGTAGTAACGGTTGCGTTATGTTATTTCTAAATAATTGTTATAAAATAACAGATAGTTAAATAACAATCCATCACTAAAATGTGTTGATGTTGCTAAATATAGTTTAAATTGTTATAAAATTCTGCAATTCTCATTGCAAATATTATTTTCGTTTTAGTTGCTGCTCACAGTTAGAATTTTTATGCATTACAACTGGCGCCGTTCAAAGCCTACTTATTCAAAGTGGGCGAATTTTTATAAACTCTATATCTGGAAGAGGAATCGAGCAAAATGTCAAGTGTGCTATATTTTTGGAAAGTTAATTTTAAACTCCTTTCAGTGAATTAAAAATATATATTGGCCCATATAAAAAATGATTATATTGATAAAAATGATTATATTGATACAAATTTAAAAAAATACATACTTAAACCATTTTAGTTCTACATAAAAAGCTTTGGAAATGTTTTCACAACAAAATACAACATTTTCCATAGCAAAAAAGTTACAGCGATTTGTTAAAAATGCACATATTTTAAAAACATCCCGTAACTCCGCAACGGGAACAGATATCGATGCGCGGTGTTTACTATCATGTTTTTGATAAAAATTGAGTTCCAGACACCGATATTAGTTTTCGCCTATCTCCTATAGAAAAGGGTGTTTCCCTTTAAAAGCGTCCAATTTGGCCCACCCTGTACATAAGTATTGCTTTATTGTACAAACGGGTGGAAGTAGCGAAAACACATTGTTTCCAAATTAACAATTTGATTAAGCAAGATTTTTTCAATACGTGAGAGACAAGAGGACAGTACAATGAAAAAGAGGACTATCCTCTGGAAATTTCATTCCAGACTGGAATAGAGGACGGTTGGTAACCCTACATATGTACATCTGTCACTATGCATAGTATTGCATGATCTAAATTCTTTAACAATTAACGTTTATGCAGTTAAAAATATATAAAAATACCGTGTAGTTTAATAATTTTGTGTTTCCTATACTTCGTAATTAACTTTATATAATGGTCATACCGCACAATAATGGACTGATAACGAGTTTGTCCGAGAGGCCTGTCATCCACAGATAGCATTGACGGACATTTCAAAGGTTACGTGTATTAAATTTACCTGTCTGCTCGTTGGCCGTGCTGCTGCTGTTGCTGCCGTTGGTTGGCTGGTTATCTGAGATCGGACGCAACTAAGCTTTTAATTTATTTTTGAATCAATGGAGGCTGCATCCCAGATAAAGCTCAGCGAGACTTTAAATTGTCAGTCGATTTAGACAGTTCATGAATTTGATTGGATTTTTTACTTTGTCTATTTTTTTATGATACGTCGTACACGTATCGTAAAACAAAAGTTAAACAACTGATAAAAATGCTATATGTATATATAATAATAATAATATAAATAGCTTGGTCATTAATGAGAAAACAAAATTTGCCTGCGATTTAAAATGATATTTATAATTATTGAATTA